AGGTATAGTAACCGAAACATTACAGTTTTGATTGATTGATATGTTTATTAATGAACGCATAGTTTGCCGGTTCCGTTGTCATCTGGAAATGAAGTTCAAATAAATTTTGTAAACCTTGGATACAAATGTAATATTCATTTCTTAGAACACATTCAGATTAATCTAAATATTGATTACTCGAGACGAGGAAATCTTCAAATATTTCTCATTTCTCCCAAAGGTTTTATAAATCATTGATTGAATGCACAGTTAATGATAATAATCTGAATGTAAAATATAGGAAGTCTGACAATGCTGTTGACTCTTAGACATAAAGATTCATATGTAATGGGCTTTAAAAATTGGAATTTCACTTCAGTTCACTTATGGGGTGAAGACCCGCGGGGGCACTGGAGGCTTATTGTTCGAGACCCGGTACAGTTCATTCTCTAGCAATTTAGTGTTTATAATGAAGTTATAAATTATAACTTATTATGTAATGTTACGTGACTGCATAGAAAAATGACACCCAAAAGGGCAAAGTGACCAAGGCTACACTTATACTTCACGGCACAGACAAACCTGCCGGTTGTCTACGGTATGGACCGCGAAGATATCAGGACGAAGACCTCATCTCACAAACTATCGATAGGACACCGGTATTACGAGTTTATTCACTATATTGACTGAACTATATTTAAATATTCTTTTCTTTTACTATTTGAATAGTAAATATTTATTTATTAAATTAAAAATTGTATTCTTTTAGGAATATATAGAGGATAATAAATCACAAAACGATTTGACCAATGATTTGAAAGCATTGAAGAATCCGTCACAAGATTTGTTCAATGATTTAAATGGTATTCAATATGAATAATGACGTCCACTTAACTGTAAACTGTCAAATGTGTTACCGGTAAATACCGTATTATCCAGGTCTACATTAATCTCTTATAAACAAATAAGATGTGGATAAAAATGAGTTTTATTTTCAAAATATCACAACAATTGTAAGATTTATTAATAATAAAAATTCTAATATAAATATATTTAAAAATTGTAATAAAATCTATTTCAAAATATTAAGTTCATGATTACAAACGTAAACCAAATGGAAATTAGTGTTAAAATCAGGTATAATTGAATTGAATTGATGTCCGTTTAAGTATAGAATAAGTATTTTAAAGACAACTCTTCTATAAGTCTTCTTCACTGATGTCTTCGATCTGATATTTATTGCGTTTGCCTTTCAATGGATCGGTGCTCAAGACAACCGAGTGGTGAGATTTGAGAGGTAAGCCATCGTAGACCGGAGTTCTGTGAGCACTGGGTGTCAAACAGCACAGAATATTGGCATTCTTGTCGGTGATTATGTAAACAACTAAAGTCAAGATCACAAAACAAAGACACAGGAAAACAACGGCCACCGCTGTGTACCACTTCTCCAGAGCCATCACTTCTTGGACCAACTCTTTGGCAAAACAGTGACCGTTTCGGTGAAGAGTGGCGTCTGAGAAGCATTGACTGCATTCGTTGTCATTGGAACCAAAACAATGTTTACACGAATAGTGACACCGATTGCAGACCACAGAAGTATTGCTTTGTTCATCGAGTTTAGCGCTCTTTTCGACCATAAAGTATCCCTCCGGACACGACTCTATGCAGCCATCATTGAAAAGCAAATATCCCGGCAAACAGTCTGTGGAGAGAAGATAATTAGCCATTTATGGTATATGTGGTCAACACTTGTGTTCACTATTAGAGCGCTAGAAAGTTGAAGAGTTAGTTGCAGTGATTCTGACAATACTTTTGCTGACAATAGTTATAACTTATAAGGAATAAGAAGTAACCAAAGGGTATATGACTTCATCGCAAACATAATCACATCCATTGACAACACAATTGGAAACTTATAATAATCAACATTCGCTTTGAAATTCGGATCATTTATTTAAATCTTTAATTGATTTAATTATAACAACAATTATTTTCTATTTATTTTTTTGTATATAACTTTTTATGAGTTATTAAATAAAAATTCATTTATAAATATCAAGAGTATTATTATTATTATTATTACAATTCAACAAAAAATATCTTAAATCAATTAAAAATAATTCCAATAATTTCATCATAAATAACATTCACACTGTCAGTATCAGACAGTTGTATACACTGTACAGCATATTTAAAAAAGAGTTATTAAAGTTATGGTTTGAAATACTTATAAATAACTCCACTTTGAAATCAAATAAATATAAATAGATGTAATACAAGGAATTATGGATTACTTGAGAAAATTTAAGTGTATTTTTAAATCAAATACTTTCGATTTGTTTAGTCTGTAAAATCTATTTATAAGCATTCAATTTGCCATAACTTCTCCTACATTCATATTTATTCTTTTTATTCAACTAAAATGCAAATATAATATAATATAATATAATACAGTATAATTCTGTATAAAATATAAAACAAAACTAATTTTCCATTGAATACAATATTTATGAACCACTTTATTATGAAGTTTTCAAATAATGGCCTATAATTTCGGTCAGGAATTCAAACTTTTATAATAAGTTTGTATACATTTCTTAAAGTGGAATCACAACTCAATTTAGTTGAAATCAAAGCATAATGTAATCGTATGTATGACTGTGAGATATGATCCATAACTACCTTTCGATAACATCTTTTAAGTGATACTGTATATTGTATAATAGAGTCATAACTGTTGCTCTCTTTCCCATCAATTGTTAGTTTCCTCTTTGGGAGGCAAATGAGGGTCAATACAAAAACTGGTATTATATAAAGCATACAAAGTACTACAGTATATTCATAATATAGTGTTGGTTTTATTTTTAGATTAATTCAATTGTACTTGCTGATTCAATAAAATAAATGGTCAAAATTTCTCACATAAAGTTATACTATTAATTTGTAAATAATTCTTTTGGATTTATTTAAAATTAATTAATCCTCAAGTCAGGCATTTGTATAATTAGTAATACCGAAAATATAAATCTTTAGAAAATAGTTTAACAATTAATAATATTAGTAGTGGTATCATAAATGAAAGAAATATTTGAATGTTACAAAATTTACAACAATTTGAATGGGGGGTGTAAAAGAAAATGTGATCATTAGTTAAATATAGACTAAAAATAAAAGGAAAGAGGCAATAGTTGTCTAATACAATATATACGGTATCTGTCAAATGATGAGTCCTTTTGAGTCTCTTTTATACGTTTTTATCTATGAAATTAGGTTCAACTTGATATGAAAGGCTTGTTATGGATGATATGATATGTAATCAATGATGGAATGATTGAACACATATTTACAAAATATGGCAAATAGTAGCCATAAGACATTTAATGGCTTGCTTTGCAAATATTTATATTAATGTTGAGTTGAGCTCTCAATATATAATCTCATTATTATATAATTTACAATTAAAAAAGAGTAACATTTTAGGCATCAGACATGTACTCAATGGTCCCAATAACACAGGCATTGGATAAGAGTTTGCGATCTCTAATACTGATAGTCATTATGAGAACTAAAAAGTCCTTATTTGTCAATATTTAGAAAATCGGAAGAATTTGAATAAACTTTGAAGTGATTGAGAATTAAATTAAACTAAATTTGAGTTAATATTAAGAGTTTTGAAGAAGAGCTTTGACCGCAAAGGCACAGATGAACCAACCTATACATCGTTTAAAGACTGGGTCAGAGAGCGCACAACCACTTCCACTGACCGCTCCCGTAGGAATCATGTCATTGTTTTTGCTGTGACGGGTGCCATGAACTAGAATAGACCAGTCTGTGGGCAAATCACATCATTATAGCCATTATCTAAGACTTACAAGTAGTTACACAATATTATGTATGCAATTATAACAGACCCTCGTTATGGTTATACATATTCTTGGTCTGACTGTCGGCCAATATATTCTCAGAGTTGTCTTCATCTTCAATATTATTATGCTTTATATTAACTACCGGTGCTTTGGTGACACTCTTTTCAGACACAACTAATCTATTGGGGAAGTCCTGAACAGGTGAAGATGTAGACAAAGGCACAGACGGTGTATCGCTATTTGTATGAGAAGTAGACCATTGGTTAGCCTTCAACTGTCTTCTGTCGGGATTGACTGAAGTTCCGTACAAAACAAGTGTCCACTCCTTGAGAAAGGCTCGACCTGTCAGACAAATACAGCCAACAATTAATTTTTATGTCAGACATCAAGTCAAATGAAATAGAAAAGTATAGAATCTCAAAGTCGTACCAAAAATGCTTTGCAGACCATTAGCTACTTAATGGGTACACGAGAACAGAAAGTAATGAGATTTCAATTCAGCAGTGAATCGAAGAGATATAGCAAACAAAAACCTACTGTAATATCGGCCCTCGTTGTGAATTTCAAGCCTCCAGTCCCCGCTTGGGTTCTCTCCCCAAGAGTGGACAGTCATAAACGGCCAGTTCTGGAAACCAGACCTCGAGTTATCCATTGGTCTCTGAGCTAATAGTGTGGATCTCGTGCCCGAAGGAGAGGTCAGATAAACGTGAATATCTCCTCTTCGGGTAGCAGTCAGAGTGACCTTCGCCTGGATGTGCTCCAAGAACTTGACGTTTTCACACGAGACCTATCAATCAATTGTTAAAAATTATAGGTCTATTCGTTGACCACTAAATGCTAACATACTTTCAAAGACATCTCAATGTAAGACTTCGCGGGAACAAGTCTTAAGATAATTGAAGACAATAGAAATGCAAATGTAAAGATTGAAAGCTATTTGTGTGCCATTTATTATAATTACTTATCAATGGGTTGACTCCGCACTTCACACAACTTCTGAGAGGGAACAGTGACCCAGTGTTTGGCTAAGTCTATCATAGCATTGGCATCGAGGAGGCCGTACCCGAAGGAATGGCTCACATTCCTGCCGATGCCGTTCGTCTTCCAGTCCCTCGCGTGTAGGTTCGCAGGTCTGGCCGTTTGCACCACAATGTGCTGCATATCTCTCCACGTGAGTCCAGGACTGCAATCATCGAAACCATTATAAATAAATAATTCATTTCATTCCCTCGAAAATAGGTCTCTTAGACAATGATTCAAATTCAAGGTCTTTTAAATGCTATAAAAAGATCTGAATCTTAATAATTAGTGGCTTTTAGACAAAAGGGTTATTAAATGTGTTTTTTGTGTCAAACCATACTATAACCCAATTTGACTGCATTTAGTTTTATAACAATATCATTAAACTTGATATTAAATATTTATTTCAGAGTTATACTTTATATTATATAAATTATATTCTATAATGTATATTGTACTTTTATTTATTTTTAAAATAATTTGCAAATTAAATTGTATCACATTTAACATTGTTTTTAAACAACATGTTTGTAATTGAGAAATTCTAAGATTACTGTACCGTTAATATAACTTTTGAATAAAGAGGAATGGCCTCTTATATTAAAGTTTAAACGTTTATATTTTTATTTGAAAGCTAGCTCATTTTAAATGTTCAAATTACGTAATGCTGAGCAACATTGTGTTGCTTGATCTCCAAACCAATATATTTTAATATTCATAAATAATTTTCCAAAACCATTCTTATTGGCTATACTGTACTGTAATTGTAAATTGTTTCATCAATTGAGTGATATATGATATGATATGTTATGATATGATGGGCATATTTACTATACAGTAATGGTTAGAAAGACTTCTAAAGTACAGTACACGAGTATCAGGGTAATCATTAGGAAATACTGCGTAAACAATGTAAACACAAAATCTCTTACTTGGCCTCTAAGACGAGGGCGCAGATGCCGGCGGCTAATGGGGCTGAGGCTGAAGTTCCCGTATGGCATGGCGGCTATCAATTGGATTAATGTTCCGCCAAAACATATTTGTTATATTAAATCCAAATCGAGGTATAGTTTGATATCATATTATCATCATATTGTCCCTATATTTAAAGTCTAAAACCATAATATGGTTGTATTATTCCTTCAATAATACAAGAATAGTTTGAAACATTTGTTTAATAATTAATAAGATCCAAATATTATATTGAGTATAATAGGAATAGAATTCTTATTCTGCTATTTATATTATAAAAGGTGATAAAATAACCTAAAGTTTGAAAAACAGCCTAATAAGTAAAGGATTAAAATAATATTGTGAACATTAATCTATCGAGTATATTTAATATAAGACTAACTTGTAAGATAAAGTGAGTATACTGTATTGAATCATTATAGAATCCTAATTATAACCCTAATACAGTATAATGAATGGTCAGTCATGAATCTGATTCTGTTGCCTTATTATATAACATAAATCATATGAACATTACAGGTATAGTAACCGAAACATTACAGTTTTGATTGATTGATATGTTTATTAATGAACGCATAGTTTGCCGGTTCCGTTGTCATCTGGAAATGAAGTTCAAATAAATTTTGTAAACCTTGGATACAAAT